AAACAAGCTGAAGAGTGGTTCCTCGCCAATAAAATTGTTCTGAATAGAAACAAAACTGTTTCTATTAATTTTACAGCTAGTAGAAGACATGTTGAACTTCAAGGCGGTGAAGTCAAATACTTGGGACTAACAATGGATAGTTTGCTGACCTGGGCCAAACATATAGAGTTGCTATGCGCAAGGCTCTCGAAAGCCATTTATGCCATTAGAAGAATTAGATCCATAATAAACCAGGAATGTGCCAGGGAAACCTACTTTGCTATGTTCCATTCTGTACTTTCATACGGAATATTAGCTTGGGGACATAGTGCACACACTTCTAAAGTTATGGATCTACAAAAGAAGGCGGTTAGAGCAATAGAAGGAGTCTCACCTCGGGAGCCTTGCAGGCCGCTATTCATAAAACACAAAATTTTGACTGTCACAAACATTTATATTTGGCAACAAGCTATTGCGGTGCATGCGGATAAAACTAATCATTTATTGAGAAGTGATGTCCACGACCACAATACGCGGAATAAAAATGCAGTGATATGTCCAAAAATCAAACTTAAATCATCGCTAAGAACGACATTGGGAGCCAAGATCTATAATAAGCTACCTGATGGATGGAGATGCAAAACAAGATTCACCTTTAAAAATATTGTTAAAAATTACTTACTAAATAATCCCTATTATTTTATAAATGAATTTTTAGAATAATTATGTATTGTGAATGACTTAAATTGTAACTATTGAATTTTAATAAAGTTCTATTCTATTCTATTCTATTCTATATAAATTTATGTTTTAACAAGCATTTTTTTATATTTTTCTTATGTAGAATGCAAGGAAAGTTATTTCAATAATTGCACCACCGAAAGAAATTTCTCCAGCAAATACAACAGACAATTCAGTATCTGATACATCAGTTAATCAAGGATGTTATGGAATGTAAGTATTATATAAGTTAATAATAATAATTATTATTATTATATTTCATTGATATATTATTTTCATATCTCAGTCAGGCAAGGGTGCCTGGTATAAGATATTATGAAAAAATTTACATATGATTGTACAGATATATTTTGTAAAATATTCTATTTATTAATAATTAAATATAATTATTAATATCTATTAATTAATAAATTTTAAACCAGGCTTATTATTAAATATCAATAAATTATTAATATATATGTATATATATTTTTAATAATATTTATGTTAACATGACAATATTGTGGCATACATATTATGTGCCATAATCATTTCAGTGTTTAGTTAAGGCTTTGCTTCTTATTTTATATTTTAATTAATTGTAAAAGTAAAAGTTCAATTCTTGGCAAGCTCAAAAATCAGAATTGATAAGATTATAATTTCTCTTAAAAATATATCGCAGGTCTTGGTTGTAAATTGTAAATTTTTGAATTCAATGAAATTTGTATATTTATTTGTAATACTACACTCACTTACTATTTCGACATCTATAAATTAAATTTGGCTTAGTTACTATTTAGATCTACTAATTTAATTAAAATAATAATTTTCTTTTAGTTATCCTGGCAAGTCCAGGTGTTCCAGCTTTTTCCTGCATCCTCAGGCAATTACATCGAGTGTTTCTCTGTTTTTGAAAAACGAGGCATTTTTTCAAAAGTTGTGCAGTCAGTATAGTGAAGGCAGTAGTTATTGTGGAAACGACTCACAGGTATACAAAATTAAATTAAATTTATTAATAATTAATTATTAACAGTTAATAAAACAGTTTTATTAATATTGGGTGCATTAACTAATGATATATCTTGAAATATTTATTAGTTAGATTAAACAAAAGTCATTTAATTATATAAATTCTGTAAAGTTTGTGATAGTCACCCTTGTTTTTGGGATGTACATCATCTAACAATACACATATAGCTACTATTTACTCTTTCTATTTTATTTTACTTCAAACACAATATTAAGAATTTACAAAAGTGATTTTGTTATATTTCAGAATTAAGTGGTCATCATTACAAATTATATCTAATCTACAGCAGTGTTGGTACTAATTTTTTTAGAAATACTTTGTTTGAACAAATATTTAAATTGGTTTATGTGGCATTTTGCCTTAAGGCAAATTGCATAAACTCCCTGATAAGTGTGAACCTACTTGGTAAATAAAGGTTTATATATTCATTGTTCATCTCGAAAGTAATCTTTTTACTTTCACTAGAAACTAATCATGAATTGAATTAATTTGTTTAACTTCATGTTTTTCGTATTCTAAAACTGTATTTCATTAAAGTCTAGAAGTCAACTGTAATCAGTAGTTACCTACGAAACTCCAAAGAGCGTACATATGCTATATGCTCTGTATAGATTCTGATTGGATTCTCTCAAGTGCGCAGCACAATTCCAAACTTTTCAAAATTGATAAAAAAATCGGTTCACATACACACACACACGTATTTTTTTCAAATTTTGCCTCAAACTATTAAGAATGACTTGAAACGCCAACAAAATATAAAATTAGAGAATCGGATTTTCTGGCGTAATCATAAACTTCTCTTTCGAAAAGTTAACAATTGAATTAATACAAAGTTAAAATCTATTAAAAATAAAGCGTTTACATCTACTCTTATTCAAAATAACATGCAAAATAAATGTGATTCAAAATTATTTGATAGATTTATTGCCGATCAAAATAATATAATTTTTTAAGGCAATATGGTGGGTGTAAATGCATTTAAAGAGTTTATCTCCTATGATATATCTTGTTCTTTTTATTTTTTTGACATTTCATTTAAGATCATATGACAATTTATTTTCAATCTTTGAGTAGGAGATTTGCTCACTTAATTTTTTTGATTATTTGTTTGGGTGACCTGGTAATTTTTTGTGATATTTTTTGCTTCTTTCTTTTATTACTTCAAAATCAATAATAAAATGAAATTGCAGATATGGAAGTATGCAATGTCATCATCTGTTGGATCTGTGAGATCTTATGTTGCTCTTCGACAGGCTGAAGGAAAGTTGGCATTCGATTGTAGACCAAGTAAGTTTTAAATTTATTCTTTTATATATATATATATATATATATATTGGTTAGCCGTAACATGCAAGATTTGATAGGTCATTGTACTTGTGTGTTTTTGTTTATATGACGAATCACTAAGAGCAAATTTGTTTGTGAAATAATTTCCTAATTTAGATAATAAATACGTGTTAGAATAAACCACTAAAAACTATGAAATGAGTTCCGGGAATCTTCCAATATAAATTTTTGTTTGAAACTTAAAATACACAGTAGAAAGGTGGCTTAGTGTTATTACTGATCTCCTAACAAAAAAGGAGGTAGACTTAAGCCTTACAAAATTTTTGCCAAATGTTGATTTACTTTTGGGTTACTTTAAATATATAATAATAAACTTTAGTGTTGTTAGAAATTTATAACAAAAAAAACGATATCGGGTAAATATGGCAAAGTCCAAGGGGTCTATGACACAAGAAAACTGAGTAACTGTGGTCTAAACAAATAACTTTATATATTAAATTTTTACAAAAATTGTTGCCAATTGTTGATGATTGCATATTTACTTTTGGGTTAATTTAAATATATAACAATGAACTTTAGTACTATTAGAAATTTATAACAAAAAACGATATCGGGTAAATATGGCAATGTTTAAGGGGTCCACGACAAAAGAAAATTTGGGAAGTGTGCTCTAAATGAATATCCTAAATAATATAGGTCTACGAAGAGTGGCTTAATTAAAAAAAAAACAAGAGTGCGTGTAACGTTTACACGCGATTGAAGTAAAACTTATTTGCTACTGTATAAGAAAGCATTTAAGTAAAAATAAATACATCATATAACAATTTTGAATAATGTTCATTAGTAATATGGTAACACTCGTGATGCACACATTTATTAGAGTCAACCCTTATTATAAATTATAAATTATATATTTATAATAGCATTAAAAATATGTATAATATTTAAAAACAATAATGCAATTAAAGTCATACTTCAAATAAGACATGATCGGTTTGTCATTGTAATTAGCATTTAGAAATGAACCTTCATTAGGGAAATGAAGTAAATGCTGATTATTAAATTCTATAATATTTGTTTGGTGGATTATGTTAAACAATGCCTAAACAAATATTATTTTCGTAACTTTACTCATCATGTAATAATTGTATTTGAAGAACTTCATGTAATTAAAATTAACATACTTTCATTGACTGCTTTCTCATTCTTTGAAATGCTGTAATATCTGTCTTGCCTAAAAAATATTTTCCATTTCAATAACTTCAAAGATTTATAGAAACTATGAATAATATAGAAATTATTTCTAATCAATAAACTTACGTTTAGTACATGGCACAAATGTTTGATTTGTTTTATTATTTTCAAGGAACAGGGTAAAATATTCTTCTGATTCAGACATTTTTCATTAAATTAAGATTTGTACTACGATGTAACTTTAAAATGTTTATTTATCCATGCCGATTTCCTTGTTGATATCGGTACGCATACAACGTTGATGCAGGTACGCATTCAACGACAGATCTCTATTCACATACACGACCACTAATCACAATCGACCCGTATTGAAATGATTTAATCGAGAATGAATGACGTACACTTTGGGTGTAACACTATTTCCGTTGTATTTGTACGGATTTATTCCCTAGTCACGCCTAATGAAGTTTTACTTAAAAAATCATTAAAGGTTCGAATAATGGGCCTTACCCTTAGGCCATTCAGTGTGTATTAGTATATTGTCTAGGGTGTGTATGTTCTAAGCACGTGTTTGTGCAGTCGAACACGAAGATTGACGAAGAGTGTCGAATTGGTCGATGTCTTTCGAAGTGTCCGCCATGTTTGACAGTTTTGACATCTGAAATGTCAAAATTTTAACCTGACAATAATTATTATTATTAATAGGTTTTGTGAAAAATATATTAGTTATGTATCATTTAGTAGTAATGTGTCAATTACAATAAAATATTATTATTTAAAATAGATAAAAATGTCTGTCGATACAAATTCTAATAACCAAATAATTAAAATTGAACCAATTGATTCTTCATCATTACATGATAATAAGTTTGAAAACACATCTTTAGTGGAAGGAGCGAGTAATTCTAATAATAATAATCAAGATACTTGTATCCAAAGGTTTATTAAAAGTGAAGAATTTGAAATACAAGAAATTGAAGTCGATGCTGAAGCTGAAAACCATTTCAAATGTGACACTTCCAACAAGACTTTTGAATGTACCTATTGTGATAAATCATTTGACACATCTATCAAATTAAAGCGGCATCTTACAATTCATACACAAACACCTAGTCATATATGTAAAATATGCAATAAAGCATCCACTACCGCTACCAGATTAGCAATGCATATGATTACTCATACAGGTGAACGTAATTATCATTGCACTTTATGTAATAAAACTTACAAACAATCGAGTCACTTATCTCAGCACATGCTCATTCATTCCGGACTACGGCCTTATAAATGCTCAGTATGCGATAAAACTTTTGTATGCTCCGGTAGCTTAACAAAACACCTTCTTATTCACACCGGTGAAAAGCCTTATAAATGTACAATGTGTGATAAAGCTTTCAACCAATCTGGTGGTTTAATTAAACACACAATGACTCATACAGGAGAGCAGCCTTACAAATGCACTATTTGCAATAAATCATTCCTTGATATGAGTAACTTGAAAAAGCATGGTTTTTCTCATACTGGAGAACGGCCTTATAAATGTGAAATATGTGGTAAAGCATTTTCTCAATCGAGTAATTTAGCTCAACACAAACATACTCACACTCGGGGTCGTCCTCATAAATGTGATATGTGTGATAAAGCTTTTGGTTCACCGACTTACTTGATAAGGCACAGGAAAACACATAACTCTAATGTTGAAGGGGTTCTTGACAATTCACACACAAACACCTAGTCATATATGTAAATTATGCAATAAAGCATCCACTACCACTACGAGATTGGCAATGCATATGATTACTCACACAGGTGAACGTAATTATCATTGCGCTTTGTGTAATAAAACTTACAAACAATCGAGTCACTTATCTCAGCACATGCTCATTCATTCCGGGGTGCGACCTTATAAATGCTCAGTATGCGATAAAACATTTGTATGCTCAGGCAGCTTAACAAAACACCTCCTTATTCACACCGGTGAAAAGCCTTATAAATGTACAATGTGTGATAAAGCTTTCAACCAATCTGGTGGTTTAATTAAACACACAATGACTCACACCGGAGAGCAGCCCTACAAATGTACTATATGCAATAAATCATTCCTTGATATGAGTAACTTGAAAAAACATGTTTTTTCTCATACTGGAGAACGGCCTTATAAATGTGAAATATGTGGTAAAGCATTTTCTCAATCGAGTAATTTAGCTCAACACAAACATACTCACACTCGGGGTCGTCCTCATAAATGTGATATGTGTGATAAAGCTTTTGGTTCACCGACTTATTTAATGAGGCACAGGAAAACACATAACTCTAATGTTGAAGGGGTTCTTGACTCAACCTCTGAAGAGGACAAACTGAGGAGCACATCAATTGAAGATAATTTACCATCTACATATTTAGACCAATAATTGTCAGTACAAAAATAGAACAATATTTATTTGCACTTTTATATTTATATATATATATATACAGTAAACCCTCGCTTTACGCGGCAAGTGCGTACCGTGCAGTATGGGAACCGTGCTATAAGAAACTCGTATTTAACATACAATTCAGGCTAATTCGTAGTGCGTTCTATGGAACCTTACATAGTGCAGTATGGGATCCGTGCTATGAGAGACTCAGAGTTGGTACAAATCGTACCATTTTTATCGCGCTGTATGGAGACCAAGGAATACAACTTGAAGTAGGAGTAATACGGACGAAATGACATTTATGACATTGACACCTTATTCAAAAATTGGCGCGACACAGTAGTCAGCTCAAACGTGTTCTTAGGCAGCTATTATATAATCAAGCATGTCTAAAAGATAACAGTCGATAACAAAGTTTACATCAATACTCGTTTGCACAACGAACTTATGGGCTGCTTACTAAATACCGTGTAATAAGAAGTCCGTGTAGTCGGAGGGATGTCGAATATTTAGCTCCGTGTAGTATGGGAACCGTGTACCCAGAGTGCCGTGTAAAGCGAGGGCCTACTGTATATTAGGCTTGCACTGAATATTCGGTTACTAATTTGTGCATTAGCGTTAAGATTAAGTACTTAAGTACAGTTCATCGGTTCCTCTTAGTTTTGAATGTGTTTGCAAGTGTATTAGTGTAAAATTTAACAAATAAACAACTGAATATTTACCCACGTATATATAATAATAAATTCATTATGAACTCTAAGAAGAAATCACCTATATGGACATACTTTAAAGATGATGTGGATTGATCAAAAAGTGTTGTGTGAATACTGTGTGAAATGAAAATTTCTCGTGCTGGCATTGAAAGAAAGGCTACAACACCAGGTATGTTAAATCATTTGAAATGTAAACATCCTGAAGAGTTTAATAAGTTGGTACCCACGCTGTCTAAGGGGCAAAACACCAGAAATGAAAATGAAAGCAAGCAGCTGACTCTAGAGAAATTCACAGAAATAAATAAATCGTGAGATATTAATGATTCCAAGACAAAAAAGTACCATATTTTAATAGATGAAATGATCGCACTTGATAATGAGGCAGTAAATATCGTAGAAAAGGCTGGTTTTAGAGGACTAATTAATAGTTCTTTGCCGCGGTATAATATATACCGAGTCGTCCTTATTTTTCCAAGAATGTTATTCAAGAGATATATCAGAGAGTGGTTGCGAAAATAAAAAAATTACTTATAGAAGCAGATTTTATTTTTGTGACTTCCGACATGTGGACGTGCTTGCATAATCATAATAGTTTTATGGCACATTTCATTGATCGAGATTTTAATTTTAAATTTAATGGAATAAATGACAGTTTCGTCGGCAGATCTACCGTATGGTAGGTAATTCGACCTTCCATCATCTTCATACTCTGCATATAGTTCTGAAAATAAATCACATGGTAAATTTCCTGAACCTCGATGTCTTGGTAAACTTCGAAGATTCCGCCACGATCTTTTTGACTTCTGTAGCCCTTTGGATCATACATCGGATTCTCGAATCAGTGTGATTCGAAGGAGAGCGTATTAAAGAGTCATCAACTTGACAAGATGCAGTCTTAAGTCTTATGCATCAAAAGACGATTTGGTAAGTTAACGGACAAGGAGAGGTTGAATTGCGATTCCAATGATCATTTCATAGTGCATTCAATTCATGACCCAAATCTAGACTCAGAATAAATTTTTGTGTCAGCAATAAACACTGAGGTCTGGGTATACAAAATGGGTATACCAACAGAAGTCCGGTGTCAGTAGAGTAAATGGGTTAACTCGCACTGACCCGAGGGCTGGAGGTACCTTATAAGCAGTCACGGAAGACCAGTGATTATGGTGCTGCATCAAAGTTTACATTTTTTTAATTTCCGATTCATGCTCCTTCTCTGTCTTGATCACGTCGGGGTCACCAATGTGGGAGTAGTTTTGAATATGAAAGTATAAACTTCACTTGTGTAAAAATATATACAATTTATTGATTATAAAAATTAATTACATGAAAATATGACAAGTGATTTTTGTTATTCCTAAATGTCTAGCCTGCTTGATCCCCCACACAAATGAGCTATGAAGAAACAAGCGAAGATAGTGCGAGTTCATCCCCTGCAAGAAACAAGATGAAAACTAAAGAGCAAAGTCAAATTCATACCAATCATTCGACTTTTATGACTTGTTTCGATGAGGTAATAGTAGAAAAAAGTGCAGCCCATAAAAATCCATCATGGGATAAAAATGAATTTTCAACGGAAATAGATCAGTATTTGAGCTTTACCAATATACATCGTCACGAAAATCCATATAATTGGTGGCAAGCAAGGAAATCGGAATTTCCATATTTGATCAAAATTGCAGCCAAATGTTTATCGACGCCAGGAAATAGTGTTTATTCAGATCGCCTTTTCTCCGAAGCTGGAATGGTCTACGAGAAAAAAAGAAGTAAATTACTTTCCAAAAACGCAGAAAAACTAGTTTATCTCCACTATAATCTTCCCCTTCTTAATTTTAATTATGATTAATTCCTCATATAAGAAATAATATACTATTTAAATAATATAACATAATACTTCTTAAATGTTTATAAAAGAAATAAATGGAAATACATGTATACACGTAAAGAATTGCATTTTTCTTCATTTTGGTATTTTTTTCTCTCTTTTCTGGCTAATCCGACACTTCGATAGTCCGACACCTCCAATAATTTGACATTCCCAGCAATCGAAGCACTGGGGAATCTTGTGGAAATTTTTGGTTTAGTAAATGTTTTCGGTTCCTTTTTTTAACTTCCCGAAGGAGAAGTTTATGTTTTCATCAAAAAATCCGATTCGCTAATTTTGTTTTCTCAACGTTTCAAGCCATTCTGAATCGAATGAGACCAAATTGGAAAAAGTATGTGTGTGTGCGTGTGTTTATGTGAACAGATTTTTTGCCGTAAATCGACGTTTTCTCAAAAACGACTGGACCGATTGCAAAAATGTAAAAGCCATTCGATGTATCGCGATGAGAACTAGCGTTTATCAATTTTGCGCGACGATCAGCCAAGCCGTTTCTGTGCAAATAGCAGAAAAGTGAATTTTTTTTGTCCACTTTTTAGCCCGTAGTTCTGAATCGATTTTAAAAATTTAAAAACCGTTCGAGAGATATTGATTGGGAATCGTGCTGATGAGTTTTTGGTAGAGATCGGCCGGGCCGTTTTCTTGTAATAAAGTGTTGAAAAACTTTTTTTTCGACGATTTTTATTATTATATATTTTTTGACGGTCTTCTACATCATACTAAAACATTACGGCCCTACGACAACGCGTTTAGCTTTAAAAATTCGTCAAAGTTTGCAAAAATTAGTATAGTTTTTGGTATTTGTCAAAATTAGAATTTTCATCGACGTTGTGTTCAAAAACGCCTGAATTGATTTCAGAAATTTAAAAGCCATTAGATGTATCTTGATGAGGACTATCGTTTTTTAGTTTTTTGCGACGATTTGCCATGCCGGTT